GCAAAAATAAATTCGAAGAGATATCGATATTTTGACAAAGAATGTTCATGGGGGAAAAGATTTTCAAATGCGTTATTCTGTTAAAAATTCTGTTTCCCAAGCATAAAGTAATCTCTCCTTTCTCATTTGTTTATAAAGTGCGCTTGATGTGTGTTTGAAGTTACCGAATTTACGTTCCGAAAAACATGTTTTTTTCTTTTGTTGCTTAGCATACAGACTGTACTTGTATCATTTTCGGAAGAAACACGGGATGATAATAATAATAAATCGTTCTTCTTCTGGTATGTAAGACATTAGAATTTTGAAAATGTCATTTCTATCCCAGGGGAATAGATAAGATCACTGGTCTAATTAAAGTTGTAATCCATATGAAAGGAGACATTTCAATAAATGTTTATCTGTTTCTATTATTAGCCTTGGATCTATAACCATGCTGTATTTTTAAGGGATAAATAATCACGTTGTTATGCAGTCAAAGTTGAGAAAAGTGATGAAAAGAAAACTGTCCCTTCAGAGACTTGATACAGTTCTCCCTATTCATAAATTTGAATAAGGCAAAAACGACAATTCCATCAGGATAATGGAGGGTGATATCAGCTCATGTTTTCGAGAATTCTTCACAAATGGCTGACTACAAAATACCTCGGACTAGTTCCATCTTCCCACCTTACATGGTCATCTGATATCCTAACGATTTATAAGACAGTGTTCCGTCTAGCCTACTATATTAAGAAACTTAGACTATCTGGAATCACCCAACCTCTACTTTCACAATTTGTCAACTCTCGTATCTTACCTATTCTACTTTACTGCTCCCCATTAGTCTTTCCTGAGCTACTGAAAAAGGACTATACCATCCTGAGAAGGATGCTGAAGGTAGTTAGTAGAACTAGTGGTGTAAAACTCAGTCAGCTCACCACTACATTAGTAGAAAGGTATCTAAATACATGCGAAAAATGGTCTAAAACCATACTCTCCAACCCCCCCGCCAGCACCCCCTCTATTCCCAACTCTCTCCTTGTATCTCATCAGGTAGAACCAGAAATCAGTATAAAATAATATATGCTCGTATAACCAAGTATAGGAACTCAACGATACCATATTTGGCCCGTGATCTAAGTGACAGAGACAATGTTAAGCGCAAAGCCTGTGACTTGCTTTGTTCTTATTAACGTAATTTTAGGCTCTTTTATTTCTCCCTTATTTGTATTCTATAGTGAACAACCTTCTTAAACATACTTAGCTACCTAAATTATTAACACTGGCTTACTTTTTTTATTGTACTTTACTCTATTCCCTCTTTTGTGTATCTACTGGTCCCGACTATATTAGCACTATGAGTATAACAAAACTGTCCTATCATTAACCATCATGTAATATTAATTTTTGTAGTTATTCTTTGTTCGGCAATATTAACTGACAATCTTATTTGCGAACACCATTATCACCGCCTTAAAAAATTTTGTATTATGCATGATTCCTCACACTACCACTACAAACGCCGCATTAGAGCTGACAATAAAAATCCCTGAAATGTTATTTTATGATTGTTTAGTGTAGTTCAATCAAATTAACTGATCATCTCGGCGGTAAGCATTCTTAATAGTGTTTCATAACTTCTTGTATGATTATAGCTGTTACTATTCACCACACACACACACATATCATAGCTTCCACTATCCAATACTGAGATATTATTTATTATTGTTGTTTATTTTCCATTCTACTTCTTGGTATTTTTTTTTTGCAATTTTTATTATTTTCGACTCCACCCTTATTATTTTTCTTCATCTTTGGCTGACGCCTGTTTTCAGTACTTCACTTTTCTGTCTCCTAATAATGTTGCATAACAGTGTGTTATCTCACAATGGCAATTTTACTTGAATAAATTCACCGTTAGGCGTTGACTGTTTAGCTTCAAACTGTCTACGAGAAACTCGTCTTTGTTCTGTCTGATTCTAGCTGACAGAGTTTTGATCGGATCATGTTGTGAGTATTCATAAATGATTCTCAAATGATCTGAGATTGTATTTGTTCGGTGAATTTTGTTTCTGTTGTTGTTGTCTTTTTTCATATTTATTTTCTGAAATACTCCTTTTAAATGTTTGATAAAATTAGATGCAATATTGAATTGAATTTTTGATTTTCCCGTCGATTGATTGGACCGAAGTGCTCGGTATAGGGTTGACATGTAGGCTTCTTGTGCAGATGTTTCGACGATGTCTGGGTATTTAATTAGTATACAATTGGTGGATGGTGGCTAGCAGTGGAATCCAGGATGCGCATTTCGTCCTATTTGGGACTCGTAGTCAGCTGGATGTACCTGCATTTCTCAGTGAGTGATGATGTTCCCACCGAGGCTCGAACCCAGTACCCATAGTTTCAAACGCCAAAGCGTTATCCACTAGACCACTTGGGCCACGAGAGCCACCTTTTGTGCAACGGGTCATATTATTTATTGAATTGAAGAAGCCGACATGTCAACCTGAGACCGACCACTTCGGTCCAATCAATCGACGGGAAAATCAAAAATTCAATTCAATAATTAATATGGCCCGTTGCACAAGAGGTGGCTCTCGTGGCCCAAGTGGTCTAGTGGATAACGCTTTGGCGTTTGAAACTATGGGTACTGGGTTCGAGCCTCGGTGGGAACATCATCACTCACTGAGAAATGCAGGTACATCCAGCTGACTACGAGTCCCAAATAGGACGAAATGCGCATCCTGGATTCCACTGCTAGCCACCATCCACCAATTGTATAGATGCAATATTGTAGATAAAGGCTGAAAATTCCACACTGTACCACTAATACTGTTTCTGGAATACAGCAAATTATTATTATTATTACAAGCTGTACAATACAAAAATATGAACTACACGGAAGATATTAACGTACTTTTATCCATAATGACAAGACGTAATTGGTAGGAACTAAGAGTAATATAAGTGTGTAGAGATGTAAGTTTTTTAAATTATTAAGATTGAAAAGGATTGACTATTTATAGGAAAATTAGACGACTAAGCTTGGAAACAAAATGATGGAGTTCAACAGATTTTTGTCAGTAGAAGCAAAGTCTAACTAGAGAGCGTATAACATGATAATTAGTTACGTAACCACAGGAAAATTTTTTTTTTATAAAATAGCCAAAATAAGATAAGGAGGAGTGTAGGGTGAGTCATGTTTAGATGAAAAATAAAACTTTCTAAACAAGACATAGTATGATGTAGTAAAACTTGTCTTCTTGGTTATCACGCTGGCAGTGCAAGATTCATTACTGTCTCTTTCTGTGCACATAGATATGATTTTAATCATTTGATGGCGATTGCTCCAGCCAACCGTAGCAGGCTAGGTATCTTTTGCCTGTTTGTTATTTTGAACGACTTTCCATTGTTTAGTGTCCAGTAGGTGGCGTGCAATCATAGCATTTATCGCTTATAACCCCTCTATTGTCAGCTTCTTTGGTATGTGTTTATAAAGACAGACCACAAATTTTCTCTCTATTCTTCCAATGTCTGGGCTTTGGCAAGTACATGTAAAGTGGTACACACAGTCGGAGGTGACATGAGGTGGAAGTATGTCTACTTTTGATTGCCAGTCTACTCTGTTCCTCAATGGTTTACATCATCGTGCTAACGTCCGAATACTTATTTTTCGACTCCGCCCTCATTATTTGTCTTTGCTTTTGGCTGACGCCTATTTTCACTGCTTCACTTTGCTGTTTCTTGGGGGTGTCGATAACAGTGTGTTGTCTCAAAGTAGCGATTTCGTTTGAATGAATTTCATTTTCGACTTTGACTGTTTGATCTTAAACTATCTGCGACAAACTTGATTTTGTTCTGTCTGATTCTAGCAGACAGAGTTTTGATCGGATCATGTTGTGAGTATTCTTAAATGATTCTCAATTGATCTGAGATTGTCTTTGTTCGGTGAATTTTGTTGTATAATACGCATTTGTTTTTGTTTCACCTGAGATACTTTTCGACTGACTGTATAGCAACCGGAAGGCAATGTTGAAGTCGTCTGGTATCTTTTGATATAACTCATTACAATTACTGAAGACTAAGCATTATGTCAGCGTCTTCACCTAGAAGGACTATATGATGTCATGTGTGCGTCGGTGGCACAGTGGTTAGGACTCTCGTCAACCATGTACGTCGTCCGAGGTTCGATCCTCTACCGACGCACACCTAATATCTATCGTCGGCCTGAAAAATTTGGGCTGCCGATATTCATTTAGTATTTGATTGATGGATGGTGATTAGCAGTGGAATCCAGGATGCGCATTTCTTCCTATTTGGGACTCGTCATCTGCATTTCTCAGTGAGTGATGATGTTCCCACTAAGGCTCGAACCTAGTAACCATAGTTTCAAACGCCAAAGCGTCAACCTGAGACCAAGCATTTCAGTCCAATCAATCGATGGGAAAATCTAAAATTCAGTTCAATACCGATATCCATGCTGAAAATTCCATACTTGTACTAAAAATACAGTGTGGGATCAAGCTGTTATCAAAATAAAAATTTATCTGCGTTTTCTAAGTCAAGAAGGTTATTTCTGGTAACATGTCAATAAGTGAGTCGCTGTAGTCAGTTAGGGTCAATTCCATTAGTACATCTATGATGAAATTGAATAGAAATGGAGATAATGGGCATCCCTGACGGGACCACTGGATGTCACCACTTTAGATGAAAATTTGCCGTAAGCTCTCACCTTGCTTACTGCATGGGTTCGAGTAGAGTGCCTTGATCAGTGCAATGTATTTTCTCGGCATATGAGAGCATTGCAGAGAATCGAGTGAGATAGATGGAGATGAGCTATTGAAGTTTTATGTTCTACTCTGATCGCGAAAACGAATAATAGTAATAATAAATGTAATATATAGTGCTGAAATAATGTCAATCAACTTTCTTCCTTTTAGCAAAATTGTTCCATCAAATTTAAGAAAACAGACATTCGGTAAGGCACAAAAATTTAACACACGAACACAATTAATAATTACCTTGGTTGTTCTAATTTAGCAGTTACATCAAAACGTAATTGTTCAGTGATCAATGCATTTGTCCTTGGAATATCTAGAAATTCCTTAGAATCAATACTTAAATAACCAATAATATGAGCTTTTAAGTTGAACATTGAATAAGACATCATTTCTGAATATGCTTCTGTTGGATTCATTACTATAGTGACGGTGAATTCTTCATGCGGAGGTATTATCACTTGTTCAGGTTCTACGGTAAACAAACGTTTATAGTTATCTTTTAATGTTGGCAGAATTTGTGCAGAGGATGACTGCCATATTAACTTTCCATCGTAAGGACGAAGGACTAAATTAATTAGTGGTTTTGTACTGGATTCATCTTCGATTGCTGAGTAGCAAAAGAAAAGAAGAAGAAACACAGATATCAGTGGTGAAGAGATACTTTAGGGTTTAATATAAAAACATGCAGAATATAACTAATTATTTGAATATGACAAAAGTGTAGATTGGTTGGAAGATTTCATCATGAGCAGACATCGGGTAGAAAACCACTGGAAAATCAAAGAGGAGTACTGCCAGACAGATGTTTCGTCCCAATAGTTTGCGACTGGCTCTTCATCTGTATGCACCCATCACATCGGGGTTCGAACCCACGGCCTTCTAATTACAAAGCCAGCGAGCTGGTGGACCATTCATCAGTCACTGGGATCCGCCCTATCTAATGGCCGGACGATGAATTCTATTTTCTGCCTATTCACAACATAGGGTGACCTCTTCGTAATGTCTCCTTCGATGAATAAATGTCTTCACCTTGGATCTATTGTAACCTACTGGTCACGGCATCTCACTAGAACCCCAGGTAACTATCTACCTGAATAGGTCCAGTCGACAGTGAGCATCAGATCAGGCAGTTAATGAATCAAGAATAAAACAAATTGCGTTCCTCAAAGTTTTTCAACAACATTTTAGTAAAATTCCTTGAGGGTTGTGTTTGTTTATAGTGAAGGATTCATTATATATATATACATCCACTTCGGTTTAGAAAAATTATTGCACTTTGGAGGTACTTCAGATATGCCCATCAAATGAACTCCAAGACATGTGTAAAGTGACTAGTTTATTTAATTCGTCTCATACTTGTCTAAGATATAATAGTCATTCAAAAACTTTCGTATTCTTTGCAGTTCTTGTTTGTTTTGTGTCTGAAATAGAAGAGGCCTTACCGATGTGTGACCGCAGAGCCCAAAGAACAACTGCTTTGGCCAGGTAACATGAAGCTTGTGGCTTTAAATGGCTTCTTGAGTTGCATTTGTATTAAGACTTTATCACCGGCTGCGGACCACCACAAGATAAATGGGGATGTACAATTTTTGGGGGTCGATCTTTTCTAATCTACCCCCACCCATCTCGGAAGCAGAGAGACAACATAGTTAGCTAACTGGTCATCTGAAAAAAGCAGTTAACTATTGTTGCATCATTATTCGCCAGTAGTACGCCTTCACCTAAAGATCCCGATCATAGTTTAAGCAGTTAACATTATGATTGTAACTGCTTTTATTCTAACTCTTATCCGAACCGCCTTTCTGACGACCTACAAGAACAAGAGTTCCAGTTAGTATAGGTTACTGTAGAGACATGCAAGTCTGACCTCCACGTTAAGGCAGCAACTGCTGGTAGGGTGCTTCTTTTATAGCTGACAGATTAGTAATTTTCACTAATGAAATTAGGCTGATGAGTGAAATTACACAAGAAAATCGATTAAAATTTAAACACTTGTGTAGCCTGCAAAATCAACTGTATAGTGTGTACACAAAAGCTATGTAAATATTTGAATACATCAAGAAGACAGGCACTAAATGTGGGGGATGAAATAAAACTTCTTGTACCATTTATTAATATTTTTGCAAATACTGGATAGATCAATATTTCTAAAGAAAACAGCGCTCATTTAACCAAAGATATGTAATAAACAATTACACTGAAAATATATACGTAGTGATAAAACAACTTTAAGGAATGTTGAAAATGTTTTCGTCCTCATTCCCTTGTAGTTTTTGAGTGGAAAATAAGGCTTTTTACAGGGTGAGCTTGCTAGTCCCATCCACCCAACCTTCTGCCGTTACCTGATTCTCTGCCGGCTATGCAAGTTTTATGAGTGAGCCGGCTTGGAATCGAGTCCGTGTCACGTATATGATTATTATTATTGCTCCCTTGGGTTCCTAGTGGAACATAGGGCTTCAACTGCACGTCTCCATTTTCTTCTGTCTTCTGCTATACTTTTCGCCTGCATCCATGTTAATCCATATTCTTTCAACTCCTCTTCACACGATTTCCTCCATGTCACCCTTGAAGTGACGTCCCACACGCCACTTCCCTTTCGGGTTCCACTCGAGGGCTTGGCGCGCGATGTCACCCAGTGGCGGCCTCCTCAGCGAGTGTCCGATCCATCTCCACTTTCTCCTGCATATTTGTTGGGCGATTGGTTCTTGCTTTGTTTGTTCCCATAATTCGTTGTTGGTGATTCTTTCCGGCCATCTGATCTTCAGTATAGATCCAGCGAAGACAGTTATTAATAAAGGTCTGCAGCCTTTTGGAAATATTCTTTGTGACCCGCCCGCCAAGTTTCTGATCCGTATAGAAGAACTGACTTTACGTTTGTGTTGAAAATCCGAATTTTGTTGGTGATGCTGAGTGACGAAGATTTCCAGATTGATTTCAGGTTGATGAATGTGTTTCTCGCCTTCCGATTTCTCGCTCGATTTGACATCCTCGTCCGCTCCTCCTGTAGTTGAGACAATGCTCCCTAAATAAATATGATTACTGTGACCAATCTATCTGTGGACCCCCAACGCATATATTAAACTAGTTGCAACATAAATTAACAAGGATAACCACTGACTGACTTCAGTTAGAGAACTATTGAAAACCATCAGGAAGTGCTGGATATTTTTTTTATCCTACTTTGGGACTATTCAGCTGGAGACACTCACTGGGGTTCGAACCCCGGTTCTTCCGGTTACAAGTGAAGTTCACAGAACATTCAGCCAATGAGACCTGATTCAATGGCCCATTGACACCCCGTGGTTACGTGCTGATGAAGAGTTCCAAACCAGGACATTACAGTTGTATAATACTCCCAGGCTTTTCGACGGTCCTCTAACTGTCATCAATCCTTGATCAAACGTCAAACAAATCAAACACTTATAAAATGACTCATGAAAATGAGAAGTTATGACCAGTGAGGTTCACTAGGTGAAACTTGAGGTCAAATACTAGTCGGTGACATTGGCTGGTGGTCGAGCTGAAATCAAAAATTCGTAGAAGTTGGAATTAAATTTAGAGCAACCAGTTCTAAACAAACCATTTGATTGGTTGGAGGGTTTCATCAAGAGCTGAAATCATCAAGAAAACCATTGGAAAACCAACGGGGAGTACTAGCAGAGAGCTGTTTCGTCACACTAGTTTGGAAATGGCTCTTCAGCAGTAAGCACCCACTCACTGGGGTTCGAACCCACGACATTCTGATTACTAGGATAGAGAGCTCGTAGAACATTCAGAAGCCACTGGGACCCACCCTATCCAATGGCCAATCCATGAATTCTAACTTCTGCCAATTCATAACATAGCACGACCACTTCGCAATGTCTTCTTCGATGAGTTACTATCACACCTTCAACCTGCTGTACTCTTCTGCTCACGGCTTCTCACTAGAACCTCAGGTAATTGCCTGAATAGGGCAAGTCGCTAGTAAGCATCATTGTCCGAAGTGCTCCGTCATAGGTTGATATGTCGGTTCCTTGTGTAAATGCTAGTCACCACTCACCAGTAAACTTCTATTAGCATGCCTAGACATTGTCGAAGCATCTGCACAAGGACCCCACATATCAACCTGAGACCAAGCACTTCGGTCTAATCAGTCGACGGGGAAATCTAAACTTGATTTAAATGCTTTGGATTATGTATTTCCGTTGATCCTTTCTGGTTTTCTCACATCATGTTAGTTGCTAGGACGATATTAGGTTTAACCTTCTACATAAGGAAGTTAAGACAGTCTGGTATCACTGAGTCTCAAATTTTACAGTTTTGTAAATATTGTATTCTATGTATACTTCTTTATTGCTTCTCTGAGCCTAATCTTCCCTAGACTACTGAAAAAAAGCTTTGTCCCATTGTGAAGGACACTAAAAGTTCTTGGGAGAGTGGCTAGTGTCCTATAAACCAACTCATTGATACTGTTGTGGACAGACACTTGTACTCATAGAAGAAACTAGCGAACGCCATCTTGTCGAACTGTGTTCATCCTCTTTAAACACAACTCACTGTTTGCATCTCATGAGGTAGGACTAGAAAGAATCATGAAAGACTTAATGATTGAACATCTGAATTATTGCAGATGTTTCTATGGCTTTCATTTTGGATAAAGTTCATTTTGATAATGTCACACAATGTTGTACAGTAGTATTTCCTGAACACGATTTGAGCATAAAAAAATTTATCACAATAAATTTTATCCATAATGGAATTATACTCTGACACAGTCCAGAAGGTTTTATGAATTATCTTTCCCCTTACTATCTAATATAAGTTAAAACATAAACGCAGTATTATTATTGTCTTCTTTAGTTTCTAGAGGGAAATAGGAATTCAGCTACATGTCTCCATTTTGTTTGGTTCTCTGGCAACGTTTTCATCTGGCTCCACGTCTCCCCACATACTTTCATCTCCTCTTCGCATCACCTACTCTTCTCCATGTCACCCTCGCACCGATGTCCCCTCGAACGATGGCCTGGCGTGTGATATCACTCACTTGATGGATTGTTTTCTCAGAGTATGGCCACATTCCAATCCACCTTGATTTCTTCCTGCAAATTTCTTACACAATTGGTTCCTGCTGGGTTGGTTGGTTCGTTCAGTGCCAGAAATCCCTCCCTGTTGCTGATCTTTTCTGGTCGGCCATCTGATTTTGAACAGTATTAAGCGAAGACAGCTGTTAATGAAGGTCTATATAGTTTTGTCGAAGTGGTGAGAATTCAACACTTCATAAACTATATTGTTCGGAATAAAACTACTATTATGATCTAGAATATTCTAAATTAAATAGAATATCAGCTGATGTATGTTGTAAACTTATAAACTGAGAGATTTAAAAACTACGTAATATATTGTATAGTCTTTAACCTCATTTTTCTTTAAGATATTTATTATTTTGAATATCATGTGATAACGCTGACCTCATTTTAAAAAGAGTTCACTAAATGTTGTACTTTCAAAGTTATTTTAAATCATGAATTATCACTGTGAAATCCTTTTTGATAACAAAACAATTTTAAAAAAAACAGAAAAGATTTATTCAGATCGGACAAACCTTCATGTTTCTTCTTTTTGATA